CAGATATGACGGTACAGGACGTGGTTGTTGAGCTTGAATTGCGTCAGCTGTCGGCGAAGACGGGCGTTAGGGGGCCGGCAAGTCCCGTCAAGATGGTCCATGATGCGGCGACAGTAAGAGTCAGCACTGGTGAGATAAGAACAAACCACACTCGCTTGGAGCAGTTGGGTCCACAGTAGCTAATGACGAAAGATGTAGGGAAGAGACGGCCGAAAGCATCTAGAGTGCGGCAGTGGCGGGTTTGTTAAGTGGCTCCGAAGAGAGCGGGCAACGCGAAAGTGCATCGGCGTCTTGATGCTTGTTTCCCGACTTGTTTGTGACCGTGAAGTTGTATTCCTGTAAGCGAAGAATCCAGCGACCAAGGCAGCCGGACAAGTTCTTGATTGTCGAGAGCCAGCACAAGGCGTGATGGTCCGTAACCACAGTAAATTGGCGGCCGTAAAGATAAGGTCGAAACTTTTGTATCGACCATACGACCGCTAGGCACTCCTGTTCAGTGATGGTATAATTCTTTTCAGCAGGGGTCAGTGCACGGCTCGCATATGCGACGACTTTCTCACGTGAAGATTTGTCTCGCTGTAGGAGAATTCCACCAATGCCTCGACCACTAGCGTCTGTATGCAAGAGCGTAGGCGCGGTTTCGTCGAAATGGCAGAGGACTGGTTTGGATGTGAGTGCACACTTCAGTTGGGCAAACGCCGCTTCACATTCAGGAGACCACACAAAGGTGACGCCTGATCCGAGAAAATTGTGCAATGGTGAAGCTATTGAGGCGAAGTCTCGAATGAATCAGCGAAAATAAGAAGCGAGGCCGAGAAAACTGCGCAAATCTTTGGCTTTTTCAGGACGCGGGAAGTGCTGGACAGCGGAAATCTTGTCAGGATCGGGACGAATACCATCCTTGCTTACGATGTGGCCTAACACTTTAATCGTCTTGCTCGCAAAATGGCACTTTCTGGTGTTTAGCTGAAGGCCTGTGTTTGCAAGGGACGTAAGAACTTCGTCCAGTCGTTGCAAGTGCTGAAGGAAGGTTGACGAGAAAATGACAATATCGTCTAAATAGCACAAGCAAGTCTTCCACTTCAAGCCTCGTAAAACAGTGTCGATCATCCGCTCGAATGTTGCTGGAGCATTGCAAAGGCCGAATGGCATGACGTTGAATTAGTACAGCCCATCTGGTGTTGAAAACGCTGTCTTTTCTTTGTCATCCTCGTGCATGAGTATTTGCCAGTAACCTGAATGCAGGTCTAGGGTTGAGAAGTACTCAGCACCTTGCAGTGAATCCAAAGCATCGTCTATGCGCTGCATGGAGTAAACATCCTTGTGGGTAATCTTATTAAGTGCTCTGTAGTCCACGCAAAATCGCATGGAGCCATCTTTTTTCCTTATTAAAACAACAGGGGATGACCAAGGACTCACGGAGGGACGTATAATGTTCTGTTGCAGCATATCGGCCACATTTTGTTCAATGATCTCACGCTCGGACGAAGAGACGCGATATGGTCGACGGCGTACGATAGAAGTGCCATCGGTCTGGATACGATGCCTAATAATGGACGCCTGTCCCAGAGATGAGGAATGGGCATCAAACAATCTCCTATAATTTTGTAGCAAGGCAAGCAACTCATCTGTCTGTGAAGAGGTCAGTTCTGAACTAATAGTCGCAGCAAGAACAGGAACGCTTGATGAACGTTCAATAGAAGGAAGGTCAGAACACGCTGGCATAAGCGGGACAACAGAGACAGGTTGAGATTCAGAAACACAAGCCATTGTGGTGCCTTTAGGAATAAGAATTTTCTCAGAAGTCTGGTTTGTAGCGTAGAGAAGTTCGGAGCCATTGTGGAACCGCGCTAGACCTGAAGCAAGGGCTATAACTCTTGCGAGACAGCGTGCAGATGGTTGGACAAACACGTCACCAGAGTCAATCACATTAGAAATAATGGCAACTATCCGCTGATGACCAGGTGGTAGCTCGGTATCTTCAGCAGCGAGCAAGCGAACGGGCTTGTCATCTGCATACAGGGCATAGTCAGTTTCCATCATATGAACAACATTTTCTCGCCAGCAGATGGAAGCGTTCGCCGGAGACAGAAAATCCCAGTCTAATATAAGTTGGTGGGCACAGGAACTCAGCACAGCAAATTGCACAAAATAGAGAAGACCAGCTATGAAAACATGAGCGGTGCACATAGCGGCAGGTCTAATGGTGTCCCCTTAAGCAGCGTGCAGTGTAGGTCCATCATAAGGGGTGGTGAATTTTTGCAGACGTGAGCACAAAAAACGATCAATCACAGATAAACAAGCACCAGTGTCTATTAAAGCGTCCACGTACACACCTTCTATTAAAACAGATATCGTATTATATGGACGCACTGGAAGAATTTCTGTCTTTTCATTCGATGCAGCTTTTCCTCCAAAAGCTGCAGAGGTTAGTTTTCCGGGCGTTGGTTGGTGAATTGCGAGACAGGTCGCAATGGAGACGTGGAGCGGCGGAGGGGTGAGGGTGAGCGGCGTCTAGAAGAGCGGTAAGAAGTGGTTGGCTCAGATGTCGCAGTTGGAGACAGTGAGCGACGTAGCGGCGGATCATAAGGACGACGTTGGAAAGCATACCAGCTTGTCCCATCATCCCGTCCGTAGGTGTCAAATCCACGACGTTCGTCCTGCTGACGCTTCCGACAGACGCGTGCAATGTGGCCCCGATAGCCGCAGTAATAACAGATTGGACGAGGCGGCCGCCACGGTGGGTGAAAGGGTTGGCTAGGCGCACTCGGAGTCAACGAAGCCAGCGGGACAGGCGTCGAGTGTGCGGGCATCGGTTGTACGACGGGTGGTGATCCAGCGAGGACTTGTGCGTACGTCGGCTGGAGTCGAGGTACTGGAGAGTCTACATACGCTGGCCCAGTCATGGACGCCTACTCCTCTTTTATAACGTCGCGCAAAACAGTGTTGGAGGGGGGAGGTGGACTCGGTGTCATTGAGAGGCCAAAAGATTGCAGCTCCTTCCGTATAATCGCCTGGATGATGGCACGCAATGAGGCAGCAGTCGTGGTGGTGTTTTCAGCGCTGTCCGGCGGTAACCGTTGGGATTCAAGTTCCTCTAGGCGTTGGCCTGTGACAACAACTTCAGCGACTGTAGTCGGGTTTCGAATGACCAAGGCATTGAACGCGACCGTGCCGATCCCTTTCAATACATGACAAACTCTCTCTCAGATTCAGGCATGGACGTGTTGAAACGGTGACAGAGAGCAAGCACATCCTTTATGTAGGATGTGTAAGACTCACCGCATTGTTGCTTGCGAGCATCCAGTGTCTTCTTCGCGAGAGCTGAACGAACCCCCGGGGTGCCGAAAATTTGCCGAAGCTGTTGCTTGAAACGTGTCCAGTCTGTGATGTCCGTTTCATGATTGAAAAACCATGTTTTCGCTACGCCTGTCAGATAGAAAGAAACACGGCGAAGCTTGGTAGGATCATCCCAGTTGTTAGTGGAACTCGCTCGATTGAACTGGTACATCTTCACCTCGAAGTCTGGCGAACGTGGGCGGCTCACGCTGGTGCGCGGTGATAATCCACGATGGATAGGCCGCGGTAGCCGGGGCCGTGGAGATAGACGCAGAAGCGCCGGTTGGCTCGTCCTGAGGCATGCTACCGGACACCTGGCACAAACGACGACCTGAGCAAAGCTCCAGGAGGCAGATCTGGCTGGGAGAGGACGGAAGATCGTAGAGCACACTCCACCACTTGTGATGCAACGATGAAGGCAACCTTTATTAGGCCCAGAAGACACGATGAAGCGACCACGCCCAAGGCACAGAACTCAGACAAGCCAAGTCCCCACAGCAGATGAAGATGACGACCACTCATGATGATGAATATGTGTAAAGATGGTAGATGTGCTGAATGAATGCCTACAAAATTCTTTTGCGGGGTGTCTGCAGAATCAGTTGTCATTCTTGAATGCCCCTATTGTAGGTGATGATTCGCTACAGGCAAGCTCTAAGGCCTCTATTTTTTATATCAAATTTTTCATATATCAAACTAATTCACGATTCCCTTCGAGTTTAATATATCCGTGTTTGACTGTATTTCTTCAAAAATTAAAATTTTGTCAGTTTATTATTCATATTTACAATTTTGGGGGCCTAAAACAGTGTATTGCATGCATATTTTTGGTGCCTAAGACCCTGTTCTTTATTGCCTATAAATCCGGCCTCTACTCATTGCTTTACTTAGATGTATTCGGGTTTCACCCTTAAAAACTGCTAGCAACAGTCTGCACCCCGATGTTTCAGAAGCTTCGCAATTGTTTCAGATCATACTGTAAAGATTACGCGAATTATGCAAATAGTCGTTTAAATACGCGAATTGCACAAATAGTCGTTTAACGCCGGAAGCTTCGATAACTGGTGTACAACATGAGCTTTCTGCTATCATATATTACTTACCGAGTTCGCCTGATTAAAGTTTATGTACTGAACACACCAACTGCCCCCATTTTCAGCGTCACCATTACCTGACAATGCACGTGTAATTACTCCCGCCTTGTGCCATCTTACGTAAAAATATTTTTGCGGCTTCTGCTTTCAAGGCCATCCATTTTGTTGCGCGTCTCTGTAAACTCTCTCCACTACGAGGAAACATTTTGCAATTTTCAATTTTTTATCAGCATTGATTCTGTGACGTAAGAACAGATTATATGTGCAATAAAAAGCATTAGCCGGACACCTTTCAGACCTGTGTCAAAAGCTTAATGTCTTAATTGCGTCGACAGCTTTTGGTGTCTAATTTATTTGATCAGGATTGGTGGCGTTTTCTCGGACATCGCCACTCAATCGCAGAGACATGACTGTCTGTAGCAGGGGAGAGTACAGATTGAGGCATTGGCAGTAGACTCACGTGACTAGTTCAGGCACATTTAACGGAGAACCATTTGTTCCCAACACGGAGGAAAAGCTGAGATATGCCACCACTGTACAGTGAGAGTAACCACAGAAACAGGAGAAGACAGCCATCAAAAGCTATTTATTTTTTACCCATGAATGAAGCCAACAGAGCCCATGCTCTGGATTCACACAGTCATCACTGGTTTCTTGACCTTGGCATCAAGAGCGAGGTTGGTGCTTGAATAGCCAGTGCCGCCCTGTCACAGAAAATCCCGGTCATTAACAGGGTCTTTCAAAAGTCCAAAAAAGCTCATAAACTTAAAGCTGTAGGGCCCCTATGACATTACTACAAGTTCATATACAAACAAAATGTTGTGATGGACCAAAGCCATTTTGGAGCAGCTTTTCGAGCAACTAAGATCTCACTTCAGAGCACCATAACAACCGTTTTGAGCAGTTGCTTACCACACAATATTGCACGCAAATATTTGTCTCTAAACCTGAGCTGTTCCACTACATGTCAAACAAGATCTATTTGTGTCAGCATGCATGCATCTTCACTTGGAGACTCCTAATCATTAAAAATTAGGCCCCCGATTTTCTGCGAACATCCCCAAGTTGACTAAGTTCGTTCAGCTCAAGACACCTAACACCTCCCAGGAATTCATTCGGTATATGTAAGTGACTCCATGGCTTTCTCTGACGCTTTGTAGTTACAATACTGAAGGCACCAGCTGTCTAAAATTTCCATGCATCATATTTATTCCTAAATGTTTTATGTACCCTATATTAAAATAAAAAGGTCTGATTATGTTTGCGCTTTTAGTATAACTTAAGCCTTGAATGTGTGGAGTAGCATCTGCTGTCATGCTATAAGTGTAGAATTGTTAGGGTGCTGGTTCATGCGTAGGGCTTATTCCTAAACCAGGTTTTAGGAATAAGCCCTTTCTTCCCGTTATTTAATGTGTGCTCGACAAAATTTACGCTCATAGGAGAGGGGGAGTACATTTTTACATTTAACAAGCTATTTGACATGCGCAGTTACCGATGTCAAGAAGTCCAGCTGAGATATACTGGGACACCGTGCTTTCTCGGCAAAGTAACAGCCCCTGTATAGCATTTGCTATTGTTGATAAAGTCTGCCCATTGTGATGGTCTGAAACATAGGCACAGTGCACGAAATATTTTGAATGTAAACTAGAACAAATAGCACTATAAATAAAAAAGAAAAATTTAATCACAGTCTGTTCTATGTAAACATGCTGCATGACTGACTGTAACAGGGTGTCTACCATTTTGATTTTTTTTTTCAAATTCCCTGACTTTTCCAGTTTTCTCTGAGGATTGAAAAGAAATTCCATGACCTTGATGTCTCCAAAACTCTGTGCACAAAAACAAACCCTCAAGCAAAAAAAAAAAAATTAAAAGTCAGGCACTCATATAGAATAAGTGAACATATTCACTGCACTCACTCAGAATGTGCTGAGCACGTGTGGTAATAATGAAAAAGTACATCTGGCCAAAATTAAACATCTTAGGCATGCAATGAGCAAGTTGGCTGTTTGATCTTCGAAGAACGAGGAAGCAAACTTACGAATTAAAATTACCCGCACATGACAGTTTTGAAGGAGCCCGTGATAATCCGACAACACAGCCAAAACAGCAACGAAACGTAAAAATGGTGTCTTCTGGTGGCATCCGTGTACAAGGAGATTACGGAAGCCTTGCCGGTTCCGCCACTGAAGTCATGACGTTTGGTACAAAAATCTAAAAATGGCGTCTCCACATGCATTTTCTTTTCACATGCTTTCTCGCTTACCAAAGGTCATGTCACGGTAAGAATAGTGTTTTAGGGATTGTAAAATTGTACTTCACAAATATGGGAAAATACTTTTGCTCTTAACCGTCCCTTTAAGTATGCTGTGCCTTTCTTATGGCTTTTATTGTGAACAAGGCTCTCACATGAGGTGCCGAAATGTCAGTAAACTGTGTTCTTTTGCTAAGTGTATCCCTTCATTATTGCACTAAAAAGCAACACTTATGCACTGCCTTATTTCCCCACCTACTATAGCTGTTCACCATAGTCAGTAAAAAGAGTGACTTTTTAAGCTTCGATCAATGGTAATGCTTATATTTGTGGTGGACACACAGACTGCCATCAGTTTCCATGACCTGGCCAGGTTTTTCAAAATTTCCTGACTTTTCCAGAAGGGTCTAAATTTCCAGACTTTTCCAGGTTTTCCAGGTTGATAGACATCCTGCTGTAATTATTATACAGTCAGTCACGTATGACTGCCGTCCAAGAACAACTAGCTCATATTATTACTTTTCTGTGACTGTATCTACAACAGCTAGAATAAAACAAAATAATGTAATTTTTAAGTATAGTGCAGTAGTAATTGTAAACACAGTGCGTTTTGAATATAGGACAGTTGAAATCTAGCATAGCAAATTTTGCAATATGAGCAAGCTGAAATTGTTTGAAAGGTTTACACCCAGCAACTACAACTATACATACATAGGGGTGGAGGTCCATCGCAGTACCCCCTCCCCCCTTTTCGTACAGCGGTAATGCAACTTTTTTAGAAAAACTAGGATAATTTTCGCAATTTGTCCGTTGTTGATAGTCAAAAAAAGTAGACTATCCGTGCAACACTTCCGAAGGTTTCTGTGTTAAAGAGATGCAATAATTTTCATGGGTTAACTAAGCAATATTTAGTGCCAAGTGACACAAAAAGGCTAGAAGGAAGAAGACAGTACAAGCGCTATATAAATGTCTTCACAATAAGGCCAAAGTTCTCCCCTTGTGTTTTTAATTGAATAAAATTAGACTGTCTTCATTCACATATCACCAGCATAGGGCAGTGGCAAAAGATATGTCATACTACCCTGTGCTACCATTGTTGTTTTTTTTATGCATACTTTCTTTCTTTCCTTGTCGCCTCCCATTCTTTGGTATACAAAGAATGAAACAGCATAAAAGACGGGAAGAGATTAAAGCTAGCTGCATGGAGGGCCATTTAAATTTTCACATGACCACTGTTTCCAGTTAGTAAGGCAAAAGTCTTAGATGCCACATCAAACACAAAAAGTAACCATTGCCGTCAATCTGAGTGAGGCAAAGAATGATCATGCTATGACCTCATCATGTGATTGTAACGTCATTGACAGCAAAGATACAAGACGCCAAGATATCATCGTTATAATGTAACTGGGACATCATAATCTGGTGCTTAATCATGACATCATTACATAAAACAGTCATTTTGTCATAAGTGAGTGGAAACCATAATCCACGTGAGGTGCAGAAAGCTTGCAGTGTCTTCCATCACTGAGGCCGTGCAAAAACACACTAGGGGCAGGATTTGTGCATGCGTATGCAGTATCGCCACCCCAACGTCCTGGGTACACAAGCCGCGTGGGTACCCAGCAGATATTTTCAGTGCGTGGAAACTGCCGAAAAGACCCATAATGAGTATGCATTAATTATTTGTTTTTAACATCAATATTTTTTATGTAGTGCCGCTATCTAAAAACCATTTACAGATTTGAAATCAGCATAAAAAACTCAAGACAGTAAAGTTTGGCTTATACTGACTCAAAAACAAAAAATTATTGTAGTCCACTTTAACTATGATTCACATCAAAAAAACAACAGCATGAGCAACCACACGAGTGAGTGGCGCCATAACCAAAGAGGAGGAGTAATATTTACTGGAGTGGAGGAGGCCCCCCTGAGGTAAAGTCGTGCGCCGCCATCTTGCCATAGGCATAAAGCACACCTTTCGCAGCTCTAGCCACTGCGGCGACACAAATGTTTCAGATGTTTTCCGGTGTTGCAGTAATCCGGACGTTGTAATGAACACATTGTGACTTTCTTAAGGCTACATAAACCAAGTGAGAGGGTGCTCTGGGACAACATTTCAGTTGTGAGTAGCATATTTCAAGCTTGATGAAAACTTCTCCGTACGCCAGAATACTTGTTGACAGCTCGAACCCTCTCTTCACACATCTCACGGTAATTCTTTTTTTTTTTTTTATGCTAACAGGTTTATTAAAGACCCAAGTGTTCAAAGCACGCCACGGTGTGCCGATGAACATTTGTGGTTTAAGATGACGGGATGACTGGAAGCCTAAAGACGGCGATCACATATGTTAGAGGCACTTCTGGTCGAATTGTTACAACCGGACTGGGATGTGACCTGCAAGTTGTCCAGCTGCGCTAGACGCACTTCTAAAACACATTACTAGAACACGCATTTCTAGAACACGAAAACCCCAATCAACCTTAATTGGCAGCCCCCCGAAACGCGTACCGGTTCCATAAGTTCAGGGAACTAGCGAGATGTTGGCGCGGACCTTCAAGAGGGAGGGAATCGCATCGCGTACATGCCTTCGTGTACGCTGGGCCGTCTCCTCCCCCGCCCGAAAGACTGGCCAACAATTGACAGGACCCCTGGTGTCGTTTACAAAATTCCGTGCGCCAAGCGCCCCTCGTCGTATATTGGCAAGACGGAAAACCTACTAGAACGACTGAAGCAACACGCCAACGATGTGCGGAGGGTCCACAAAGAGCGCAGCACAGTCGCCAAACATGCGGAGACATTGGATCACCACATAAATTTCGAAACGACAGCCATCCTTGAAAGCGAGCCGAACTGGAGGAGAAGGTTGTTACTCGAGTCGTGGCACATACAGAGGGCAGCCCATAACATCAACCTCTCTCTCGGAACCATTGCCACAGTGTATACACACGGCCTGCGCTCCACTGCAAAACGAAAGAGGGAGAGAGAGGGGGGTCATCGTCTACCCCGCGAGTGCTTTGAAGATGCCGCTGATACGTAGCCTCCGAAGTCACCCCTGAGGATGGAACCAAGTCTGTTTCGATACGTCGGGTTTCTTCAAAACTTTTGGTTGGAGTCTAAATCATCTCCCAAAGTCCAGTGGTACGCATCCTTGTGCTTGCTGATACCAGTGGAGCAGTGTGGGAATAGAAAAAGTACACGCCGTTAACTATTCTTTGAAATTGAATAGGTGATCTACTCCCTTTATTTTGTTATCGGTTTCTTGTGTTAAATAGACAGGATTCATAGCACTTCAGTGAATCGAAATTCAAGGGTCTTCAAGGAATTTTAATGACCTAACAAATACTTTTCAAGAACCTAAAATAACACTTGAAATTGCAGAAAATGACAACACCACTTTTTACAGCATAAAAATTTGTACTACATTTTATTTGTGTGGTTGGCACCATGAA